CGAATTGAATGTCATTTTTTTAATTCGAATTCGAATCGAATCGAATGAAATCGAATCGAATGAAATCGAATCGAATCATTAAAAAATTTAACATGACTATTAACACGTTCGCGACATCGTGACCCACTGGTGGGTCACACTGGTTTATATTAATAGACGTGCGTGTCCACCGGTGGGTCACACACTATGAAGCATTGCACTGCTTCTGAAAGTCTCTGTATGTATCGGGGGCTCTATATATCATAAGCCTTTTGTTATAAAACAAATGCAAAACAAAGAAGCAGAAGGTATATTAAAAAATAAATTATGCGTCCTTTAGAGTGAACCAATGGATTTATTGATTGTCGCGAACGTGTTAACATGCAAATAATGATGGAAGATTTTAATACGAAAGGGAATATATTGATATTGTAATATCATCTTAAAGTACTATATATATTTAAATATTTAAAGTAATTTATAATAAAGTTATTAATTATAAGTTAAGTTAATTACAAATTAAGGGTTCAAACATACAAGCGCAGATGGCCCGTTTTGTAGCTGATGCATGTAAACGATAATGTATTTGATTCCTGTTCGTATTATTCGAATCATAGGGATTCGGATTCGAATTCGAATAGTTCGCACATCTCTGTTGAATCTGAGATCGGAAATTAGAATTTTTCAAAATTCAAGATGGCGGATCGAAATGCTCAAAATTAGACTGATCTACATCAAATTGTGTATCCGAAGGCTTTTGGGCTCTGAAGTAATCAGATTCGTAATCAGCAAGCTCGAAAACCCCCGAATACACAATTTGATCCGCCATATTGGGTCCGCCAATTGAGTTTCTCAATTTCGACTTCAGATTCGTAATCAGCCACCCCAAAAACCCCTGGATACATACAGTTTGACGCGAATCGATCTAGTTTTCACGATTTCAATCCGCCATATTGTGCCCGCCATCTTGAATTTTTGGAAAACTTATAATTCTGATCTCACATTCGTAATCAGCGGCCTCGAAAACTCCCGGAAAACAAATTTGAGGACATATCATCAGGGCGAAATCCTTAGTTACGATAGATTTTATGCAATCTATGTTTTTTTGTAAATCGGAACCGGCATATTGGTACAAGTTTTGAGAATTTGAAAATTTCGACTTCATTTTCGGAATCAGCGATGTATCAGAAAAATAAGAAGTGGAGAAATATGATTTCATTTAGTTCGACGAGGTGTGACTTATATGCCACACCATGCTTCAAAGGGTTAAACGGTGATGATCCGGGGTCGTTCTCTCTAAAATGCCAAATAAATGCCAAATAACGCTGAACGAACACGCGTAGGATGTGGAGAAACTCGGCAAGCGGCTCGGCTTCACACTGGACGCGCAAAATTTCCACAACGTATCGCTGGGACAGGGTCAGGAACCCGTCGCGGAGGAGACGATGGACATCTCGGCGCGCAACGGTCATTGGGTTATACTCCAGAACGTTCATCTGGTAAGGAAGTGGTTGCCGAAACTCGAGAAGAAGATGGAACAGCTTTCGGAGAAGCCGCACGAAGATTATCGTCTCTACATTAGCGCGGAGCCGAGCCCCGACCCTCACGAGTCGATAATACCGCAGGTATTAAAAGCGGAGCCGCGCGCTCCGCTCCGACAAACGGCAACGGGAAGTGCGCGAAGGAAAGTGGCGCAACGCATTCAACGTGTTCTTTTCTCCTTCGCTCGCTCCACGATTCATCATGTCGGGACTCTTCGGATATATCACGAGGCAGATTGCTTTTGGCCGTGTCTATATCTAAATTTATCTCGTTTCTTTCTTTTCTTCGCGACGCGGCCTCCTTCTCTCTCTCTCTCTCTCTCTCTCTCTCTCTCTCTCCTCTCTCCTCTCTCCTCTCTCTCTCTCTCTCTCTCTCTCCTCACGCCTTGTCCGACGACCGAGTTGTACGCGCACAATGTGTTCCCCGGCCAGAAGCGATTCAGGCTGATGAGCGGTCTCCTCGCTCGAAGCGCGCTCACAAACTCGCAAACTCCACTCTGGGGGAAGTTGTTCACACTTTGCCACTTCCCGCCAAGCACTTGCTGGAGAAAAATCTTCAAGGTGTGCGCGCGCGCGCAAACGCGAGACGCAGGGGGAAAGTCGCGTGCACGACGGAGACGAATGCGTCGCGCGTTACCCTCTCGACGAGGGTTCCTCGTGCGTGCAAATTTCGCGTCGAAATGAAGATCGAATCGGTGCTTGAGCGATGCTTGCGACTGATCCCAGGGTATACTGGAATCGGCCATAAAGATCACCAACGAACCGCCGACGGGTATGCGCGCCAATATCCACAAGGCACTGGACAATTTTAGCCAGGACACGCTCGAGGCCTGCAGCAAAGAGACCGAGTTCAAAGCCGTCCTCTTCGCCCTTTGCTATTACCACGCCGCCATGGCCGAGCGCAGGAAATTCGGGGCGCAAGGATGGAATAGGGTCGGTACACACACACACACACACACATACACACGACGCGAGTCTTGCCGAGTCATCGCGATTCGCGTCAACGTACGCGATCGTGTATGATCCGCGAGAAACATTGCGACATTGTTGAAAGAGAGGGACAGAGAAGGTGATAATCGACAGCGCGCGTTAACCTATCTCGACAGCCATATCCGTTCAACGTCGGCGACTTGACCATCAGTGCGTCGGTATTGTTGAATTATCTCGAGGGCAACGCCAAGGTACCCTGGGAGGATCTGCGTTACTTGTTCGGCGAGATCATGTACGGCGGTCACATAACAGACGACTGGGACCGGAGACTGTGTCGGACGTACCTGCTGGAGTACCTCCAGCCGGAACTGGTCGAGGGTGAGTTGTACCTGGCTCCGGGTTTTCTGGTGCCACCCAGTGGCGATTACGCGAGCTATCATCAGTACGTGGAGGATTACTTGCCAGCGGAGAGTCCCGCGCTGTATGGACTTCACCCGAACGCGGAGATCGGTGAGATTCTTCGATCGATCGGCACAAGCGGGATCAAATCGACAAGCGCGTCGCGCCAATTCTCAGCCATGTTATCGTTGTCGAACGCAGGCTTCCTCACGAGCACGGCGGAAAGCTTGTTCAAGACGATCTGGGAGATGCAGCCGCGGGACATTGGCGACGCGACAGTCGGGACTTTGTCGAAAGAGGACAAGGTGAGGGCTCTGATAGAGGATCTACTGGACAAACTTCCCGAGCAGTTTAATATGCAGGAGTTAATGAGCAAGGTTGGTATCGCTTACCCTCTCACCCTTTCACTGCTGAATTAACTTCCCTTGAGAAAATTATTAAAATATTTTTGGTAGTCCTACGTTTCTTGGGTCGCTAATTACGAATCTAAAGGCAGATTTGCAAAATTCGAAATGGCGAGCTCAGTGTGGCGATCATGATGTACAAAATTAATGAAAATTCCAATTATTATTATTATTGGTGTATGGGTTTTTCGGGTCGCTGATTACGAATCTTTGGGGTAAAATAATATTGATAGTATGGATAAGATGGAGATACAGAATGAAAAAACTAAGAAAATAGAGCTAAAAATCAAATTTCAGCCGTTTTTGTAGAAATATTTGTTTATAAAAAAGAAATCTAACCTGCAAAAGAGTACCGAAAAAATATACGTTTTTGTACAACATCAGAAAAATATTTGGTGGAAATTTCAGACCTTTACATCCAATATTCTCCGAGGAATCGATGTTTCCCCAAAAAAAGCATTTTCTCAACTTTGATTCGTTATAAATAATCACAAGTGAATAAAAATGGGTATAAAAATCTATTGGAGTATGTTGAACAACTATTCGGTCATATCTGGGAAACTCAAATCCCCGATTAGTTCTTCAAAATTATGTGATTTACAACGCAAAATTGAATCAAGAAAAGATGGGAAGTATATTTTCCCACTAACTAAGCGGAAGGGTTAAGCGCGTTAAACGCGACAGTTTCTAACGACTGGCCCGGCAATCGCGGTAACGAAGAAAAGTCGCCGTAAACGACTCGATTCGGTATTCTTCTTCCAGACGGAAGAGCGTACACCTTTCGTCATCGTGGCACTTCAAGAATGCGAACGTATGAACATACTGACTAACGAGCTGAAGAGATCTCTGAGAGAACTCGAGCTCGGTTTGAAGGTAGATGTCACAGGTGCCGGGGAGGGAGACGTAAAGAAGTGTTGCGACGGAAGAGTTGCCGATGAGACGAGTCTAAAAGTTCCGCTTCTAGGGCGAGCTCACAATCAGCGCGGACATGGAAGATCTGCAGAATTGTCTGTTCTTGGAGTCTATACCGATGTCCTGGGCCAGATACTCCTATCCGTCCACCTTGGGATTGTCCGGCTGGTTCGCAGACATGCTCAATCGAATCACCGAACTGTCGAATTGGATCGTAGATTTTAACGTGAGCAAACGCCTCGACACGTAACGTGTCAAGTGTACGAACAGGACCTTGAGAATTCTCCGCGAACAGGAAATAGGAATCGGCGCATAGCATGTCACTCTTTTTTCTCTTCTACACTCAGCCTACGACCTAGTTGCGCATTTATTGTCTCAACAGTTGCCGTTATCGGTCTGGCTGGGCGGTTTCTTCAATCCGCAATCTTTCCTCACCGCCATCATGCAGCAAACCGCCCGTAAGAACGAATGGTCCTTGGACAAGATGTGTCTACACTGCGACGTCACCAGAAAGCAAAGGGAGGAAATCACGTGAGTCGCTTGAAAGTCGACGATGACGCGGAGTAAAAGCACGCGGGCTTTTCGAAGGGACTCTTGCTCGCAGCTTGTTTTTTCTTTTTTTTCCCAAAGTTTCTTGCTTTTCTCGAACGCAACATCCAAGCGCTCGCGTCGCGCTGATTGCGCTGATGATTATCGTACCGAGGAAAACGTACTTCACGTAAGTAAATTCTGTCAATGCCTCGCGACATCGCGAATATCGATCGCTGCTCGCGGCGAGACGGGAAAGGGTCAACGACGGGGAAGGGGATCGACGAGGCGATAACGAGACCGTCTCACCGTCGTGCCAGGGCGGCGCCGCGGGAAGGCGCGTACGTGAACGGTCTGTACATGGAGGGTGCGCGATGGGACAGCGCGATCGGCTGCATCGCGGACTCCCGGCCGAAGGAGCTGCTGTTCCAGATGCCGATGGTGTTCGTCAAGGCGATCACGCAGGATAAGCAGGAGACGAAGAACGTGTACGAGTGCCCGCTGTATAAAACTCGAACCCGCGGTCCCACGTACGTTTGGACGTTCAACCTGAAGACCCGCGACAAACCCACCAAGTGGACCCTGGCCGGCGTCGCGATTCTCCTGCAGACTTGACTGAACGACGCCCGCGTTCACACACGCCGCACGCGCAAGTTCGCGATCGTAACTCATCCCATACCCCCCACCCCCCACCCCCTTCTCCTCCTTTTTTTCTCTCAATGCTTCTGCCTCTCTTGGCGCAAGTCGTAATGGTAACGCGAGTGTGTGCGCGACTGCAGCTTCCCGGTTATAATAACCCTCGCAATTACGTCAAATCCTGTGTACGGTGCGAGCAGAGCGAGTCGGTATCGCCGCGATAATTACAACGCGCGTATTCGGCTAATTATGCGCATTGGCATGTAGCCAAGGATTGCGCGATGTAGTTGCGCCGCTGCGCTGCGAGGAGAGCTCTCTTTGTGCTCGAGCTCTCGTTACAGAGCGATTTCGTCCTGCCGACTGTTCCACTATCTCTCTCTCTCTCTCTCTCTCTCTCTCTCTCGCGCTCGCTCTCGCTCGTCGGTCCGTCGGAAACGGAAGAAACTCACTCGCGGCGGTCGCGAGAGCAGATGCGCTCGTTTGACTCCGAAACGAAACGAGAGGCTTCTCTTCACTCTTGCTGCTCTCTGTTGCTCGCAGCCGTCGCCTCGATTGAAGTCGCCCTGAATTGAAGGCGCGCCCCGATCGAGCGAGTCTCGAGGATGCGACAACGCGACGCGACGTGCGTTTTCGCATCGGCAGTAAGGAAGAGAGCGACGCCGGCTTTCGCACATCCGGTGCTTTCTTTAGGCGCGCACCGACAGCTACGCTCTCGCGGTGGCGCGTATTATATCAGTCGGTGCGTCTGACGAGTCGACGGTACACGACGACAATATGATTGGAGGGTTCGAGGAAGTGGTCACCTTTATCGGCTGCGACGTAATTGTCCGTTTCGCGATGACGCATCTGGTTTCGCGTGTCGACGCTCGCTCTCTCTCTCTCTCTCTTTGTCTCCTCGCAAATTCCGTGCGACGCGCGGAATTTCGGACACGCGAGCAAGCGACGCGCCTTGCCTTGAGAATATGACTCGCTCTGCGACCACACTCCAACTCGGTTGAAACTCGGTCTTTTAAATCGGCGTGTATGTTGCCGTTTAGTAATTAACCGCAGCTGCAGACTGCTAGCTAAACAGTTAGTTTGACAAGGACATGCGCCACGAGTAGTAAAATCTCGTCGGTAGTTGTGCGCGCAAGAGAGTAACTCGAATAACACACGGAATGCTTGACCGTCTCACGCGTTTCCGCTTTCCCGAGCGGTATTGCAAGTTTTTCTCTTAAAGTAAAAACGAAAAAAAATAATATCGACTGAATAAGATCGACACTAATTGCGCCTGTCGAGTGATTTAATAACACAGGCGGATTTTCTCTCTCTTTCTCTCTTTCACTTACTTCACACACTTTAGATAAGCTTCGACTTGGGACGCGCTCAGCGTTTAGACGAGGTCGGCGCTACCTGTCTCAGATTAAGAAAGAGCCGGGAAATATTTTTTGGTCATTAAACTAATTAGATTACCGGTATTGCGGCGGTCGGCTATAAATTAGCGTTCCAGGTCCTTTACGGTCGCCCCCTCCCCGTACTAACTCCTCGGCCGAGAACGCCTTCGAGGCAAACGCGCGTTTCTGGTATTTATAAGGGACCTACCGGGCGAAGAGGGCGAGACTTGGTAAAAAACTGTATTCGACCGGGATCGAACGAATCGAACGACGGACATCGCGCGTGATTACTACCTCGACGCATTCAGCGGCCCGGCTCTTCGTGCTTTCGCTTTCAGCTCATTTCGCACGATCCGCGACTTCACGATAAAAGTCTAAGCGGAATTTTGACTCGTAGCCTTGTGCGTCGTGCGATATCATTCCGCTATCAGAACGGACAACCGTCGCATGAATGTAATAAGTGCGCCCGCAAATGTGCGACCTGTAATTAACAAGTCGAAAAGAAAGCACCTATCGCATCGAGAAGAAGAAACTTTTGACAAATTACAGAGAGAGAGAGAGAGAGAGAGAGAGAGAGAGAGAGAGAGAGAGAGAGAGAGAGAGAGAGAGAGAGAGTCGTTCTACCCGTCAAAATTAAAGTCACATCAAATGAAAGGTCTTACATAAGTTACTCGCTAATTCACGGTAAGAAAGTTTCTTACCGTGACAAGAACGCGATATCATTGTTGTGTAGAAACCAAAGCGCAATCCAGCGGAAACGTATTCTTATGCAACAATAGTCTTTGCCTTTTTTCCGCAGAAACCTGAATATCGAGACTACACCAGGAAATCTATTTCGCTTCGATATTTTCTCCGACGCATTCGGATCCATTGTCCTGCTAAAAAATGTACATATTCGGTATATGTATTTTTTTTTCTTCAAATATAAGACTCATCAAAAGTCGATCAAGATAGAAATTTAGTAACAACTAATATTATAATGCCTGATAATGTTGGACACATGTAACATGTATCCATGTTTTATCGTACATCTATATTTAATTAAAGCGATATTTGTTGTAAATTGGCTCACGGCGTGTAAATGATTATATCCGTGTTTGTGCGTCGAAACACACATTGAATAAATATTTCCGAGCTGAAGATTGAAATATTCCAAGTTTACCGTCTGAAACTTTCAATTCACCCTACTGCGTGCTTTGTGCGGTTACGTGTTCACGCTAAATGCTAATTATTTGGCTCCAGTCTATTATTCAACTTTATCAGAGTTTGCTCATTATATTAAGTGGTTATTAAACGTGTTTAACTTAAATCAAATGAAGATGGTGCGAGATAGGCGAAACAAAGGCTCGTATAACGCACGAGTCCATGAATATTAATATATATTATTAATTGCGTTTTCGATCGTGTGAATTGAAAAGATCGCGCGATTTGCACGTGTTCGATAAACAAAGTGATAAACAAACTCATCACTCACTCGCTCTGAAGAAGAAGAGGAAGAAGAAGAAGAGGAAGAAGAAGAAGAGGAAGAAGAGGAAGAAGAAGGAGGAGAAGAAGAAGAAGACTGAGGTGTGTGTCAAGTACACGCGGCGGCATGTCAGGTCAGGATTTTCCAAACAGCTTTCTCGTCCTTGCCGTCGATCGCTGCTGAGTCTCCGGCGACGAGTCTCGCCTCCCACCTTGTCCATCCACCCCATCCCTTTCCGCCTCGTTCGCCGGCGCGGCGCGGAGGTGCGAAGAAACCATTTCGAAAGGATGCGAAAGGTGCGAAAGGCGAACGAACAGGCCCCCCAGGATGACTCCGCTAATCGCGGGCAGGCGGAAAACAAGCGTGATGAGTCGCCTCGCTTCGCCTCGCCTCACCTCACCTCGCCTCGCTTCGTCTCACTTGGGCCTAACTCGACTCGACGCGACTACAACGACCTGCGACGACTGAGGAGTTAACCCTCTCTTTCTCTCTCCCTCTCTGCCTCTCCGTCGCTCTTCTTTTTTTTTTTCCGCCGCAACGAAACATGTAAACGCACGACGACGACAACACTCGGCAGCAACGTGGACGATCCGGACGTGACGTGACGAGACGAGACGGAGGCGTACACGTTGATACGATAATCGATACGCGTTATATCCTTAACATATATCCGCGCAGGTATATGTGCTACTTTGAGGCGCTTTATAGCGTATTGTGTACGTACGTAAGAAGCGGGCGAGTACGTTTCTCACGCGTTTCTTCGCACCGTGTGCGATGCTCACCGTGCGAAAAGACCGAATTCTCATTGCGAGTCGAGAAACATCTCTGTTATTCCAGATGATCCATCACGAGCGACAAATATCGATTTGCGAAGAGTAATTCTGATAATTTCGATACGTACACGCGCGTATCTCTTTCTCTCTCTCTCTCTCTCTCTCTCTCTCTCTCTCTCTCTCTCGGCGGAGAGTGCGATTCGCGCGGAAATTGCAGACACGAGAACATGTAATTCCCGGCGAGATTACGATAACGGTAGAGAGCGCTCGATATCTCGCGGAATGATTGCTCTTCGCGTTGTCGTCGATTCCGATATTTGCCAACGACGACGACGACGACAAGTCGTCTCGTCTTTCGATCCGTATTTCATCTTCTCTCCTCCTCGTTATTTGCATACGCGATATATCGTTTTCCGTATCTTCGAGCCTCATCGTGTGCTCACGGCAAACGGTGCGGAGAGGTTTGAAGATAATTAATGCAAATTACACACGGGCTACGGGCACGCTACCGGTTACACAGCGTTACACGGGATGAAAGCCGCCGTGCGCTCGTCATGTAAGTCGTCGCTCTTTCGTGTCGATCTGTCGCTCGATTACCGTCCGATACAATTGATTCGACGGACGATTGACTGCTATCTTCTCCCGCTCGAGCGGAGCGATTAGTTTTTGCGTATTTCCCGACCTTCGTCCCGTCCCGTCCCGTCCCGTCCGTCTCTCGTTCGCGTGCAGTGAGCTGTATACTTAAGCCGCGGAGAGCCACCGCACTAAACGGACGTGGCGCGTATAATTTATGAATTATTATTTTGTACTATAATGTCGACCGCTCCTCTCTCTCTCTCTCTCTCTCTCTCTCTCTCCTCTCGCAGCCCCACGGTCTCGTCTCTCGTCTCCTTCGAGCTCCTCCGTGGAGAGAAGCATCTCGTCGGAAACAGTGAGATAAAGAGCATCATCAGTGGCGTAGGGTCCTTGCGCGACGTTTTACTCCTTTGCGAATCCAACGACAGCCGTGCTATGTCGCTGAGTGTGTGTGTGTGTGTGTGTGTGTGTGTGTGTGTGTGTGTGTGTGTGTGTGTGCATGCGTGCGTGCGTGCGTGCGTGCGTGCGTGCGTGCGTGCGTGCACTTCACTCGCTCCAACTCGATCCGCGTCGCATCGATCGAACGCGGGCGAATCGCGAATACTGCTCGGGTAGCTTCTCTGGAAAGAGACAAATGTGTTCCAAGAGAGAGATTCGCACCACTCTTCTCGATCGTTGAGAAGAATACTCGTTGCGCTCGAGCGAACGAGCGCGCGCGTCGCGCGCGTTTACCTGGGTAGCCGGCGCGAGGGGTGAAATTGATCTCGCGGCCCACCGAGAAGCGCGCCAGTGCAAGTCGCAGCAACGAGGCAGCCTGGAGAAAGACCAGACAGGCGAGCTAGCGAGAGAGGCCAGGG